TGCTTTTACCATGATGTGCTGCCTTGCTTCAGGCTCAAAGCAACCAAACCAACTGATCAGGGACTGATGCCTCCAATTTTTCTTTATAAGTTGATTATCACAGGTATTTGATAAAGTGGCAGTAAGCTAACACAGCAGGTGCTTAGGAGAATTGTGACGGGAATCCAATCTCTTAACCCCCAGTGCTTAGTTGTTTCATTCCATAATTTGCCTCCTCCCTTAAGAGAATCTTAAGTTAGCAAATAAGATGATAAAAATATATCCATTTAAAATTAATATAAAAACTACAATAAGAATAAAGCAAGAATAAAAAATACCTTTCTACTTACAGCCACACATGGGTGCCCCAAATCATTAAATAAAAGTTCCTTTCCATCTCTAATAAATTATTTTAATTATAAATTAAAATCACTAGAGGACTTCACTTCAAGGACTCCTCTCCTGGTTTTTCACCAAATTCTATAAATCTTCTTGAAAAGAATTTAGGCTGGATGGGAGTGTAAGAATGATCATTAAGGTGTTTTTCTGTTGTTTTGTTTTGTTTTGTTTTGTTTTCTTGAAGTAAGGTCTCACTATGTTATCCAGGCTCACCTCAAACTCACACCACTCCTTCCGCAACCTCTACAGTACTTGTGGGTTATAAGCACATGCCACTTTGCCCAACAGTAGGGTGTCTTATATTGATTGTGCCGTAATTTTCTTCAAATTTTCATATGTAGAAGGAAATAAGACCTAAGATTTCCAGAACAATTCATAGTGACAAGCTACATATATGTAATTATCTCTTTGAACTTGTCAACAAATATGTTAGGTGTCTCTTCATACATAAACTCCTAGGAAGACAGATGTTTTGATATCTTTGTTCAGTGATATATTCCCGGCACATAGAACAGTGCTTGGCATATAGTATGAATTAATAATATTTGATGAATGAATTTTTATTTCCTCTTTTTACAGGTGAAAAAAATTCCTGAAGATCAATGTAGTTGATCTTTAACTACATTTCCAAATCACATGGCTGTTAGATTGCAACACAAAGTTTAAAACGTAGACCTCCAGAGTCATGACTAAATGCCAAAAACAGTATGCTCAAGGATTGGGAACAAGGGTAGCTTCTGAGATGATAAAAGATGAAAAATATGGTTTTTGAAGAAACTGTTGTCTAACGGAGAAAGCAGACACATTCAGATACAAATGATTTCAAACAATGTGGCTAAATACTTCCATGAACATTCCTACTAAGAATTATGTAATCCTAATACAAAAACTGAATTCTGCAACTGTAGGAATCTGTGACTTCTTCACAGAGCTTGTTTCTACATTGGACTTTAGAAAATGGTGAGACTTGACAGACAAATAGAGTAGGAGGACTGGGGCTTGAAGCTAGACATTGCTGGCAGAAAAAAAATGCATGTGCAGTATAAAAGCATATTCTGTCCTGTAAACAAAATCCATCCGTAATTGGGGTCTCTGGTTGTAGGGGTGAGAAATGTAACCAAAAAAATACAGGAACATTAGGGAAGGACTTTTACCACTAGCTTACTGTATTTCCTCTGTGCGATAAGTAGTGCAAATTCATAAAAGGGATTCAGGCATGTGGTGATATGACCAAAAGTGTACTTTTTAATAAGATGTACTGTAGGTGGGTAATATGGGTTGGAGTGAAGAGTGACAGAAATAGCAAAGTAGTTAAAAATCTAATCAGATGATGAAGGGTTGACTTAGACCAACTCATCAATGTTGCTGAAGAAAGGGAATAGTATAAGAAGACAATTTAGGGTAGACTATTCAGAAACTGGATGAAGATGCTGATGAGCAGGAAGGACCCAAGTAAACCTGAGGTTTTCAAATTCTGCGTGAATGGGGATGCGATCTTTTCAGACAAGATAGGGCAGGTTTTTGAGGGAGATGATGGACTTGGATTTAGACACTGAATTTGTGGTTCACATGGTTTTTGAGTTTTATAATCATGTCAGTCTTGAGCTCAGGAGAAAGAGTAAAATGGAGATCTGAATTTGAAACTCATCAGATTTTTTGAAAGACTCCTGGCATTCAAACTGCAACATAAAAAATCACACACATTTGGAGCCTTGAGAGACAATGTCATTTAGGGAGCAGATACATGATGTAAAAAATAAAAAAGAATGAGAAAGAATCACTACAGGTGGGGAGAGATGGAGGAAAATGTGTCATGGAAGCCCAGAGGGGAAATATTCAGAAATATTTGAGGCTTCTGAAAAGGTGAGGGGAATATAAATATTTGTGGTTTTTGAGAACAATGGTGAGTGGAATGCACTCTCCCTGGCTCCAGTGTAATTCCAAAGGTAAGTGGAGGGAACAATCTGATCTATTCAGTGTCCCAAAGGACAGATCTTGCATTTACTGTGTGCCTGACACCTTACTTAGGCATCAGAGTAAATAAAGCAAAATTTCCATAGTTTTGAATCCCCACCATTCCACTAATGTTTTGTTCCACATAAAATCTCATTCAGTCTTTCAAGGCCCCAATTCAATTTGCTATAAAACTTCCCTGAGCACATTGGTCCCACCAATAGTTCTGGAAATAACTTATGATATTCAGCTGACACCTTCCAAGGCATTTTAGCTGTCATTGCATTGGCTCATGTCATTTTACCACAAGAACTGAAGATTCATTAAGGAGAAAGGATTTACAGTCTAGATTTTTTGCTTCATAATTCCCATCCCTGCTTTGCATATTTTAATGCTTAGAAATGGCCTCTTACCATCTCTCACTCCTAATATCTGGTCTTCCTTTGAACCAAAAGTCTTAGATATATCTTAGATGCTGACTCCGCCATCAGCTAGATGTGTTCCCTTGAGCAAGCACTATTGTATCTTTGAGCAAAGATTTTCAGGTTCCCCTAGTAAGATTGGAGTAAGTGGGTTTCTAGCATAATCTCTAAGATTTCTTTCCTGAATTAAGTAAATAAAAATTATTTGATGAGTCCTGACACCACAGGCCAGATGTTATGCTATTACAGTGAGCTAGATGAGATATACCCATTTTCTTTTTTCATTTAGTTACATGATTAAAAAAGTAAATGATTTCAGATGGTAACATGTGTCATAATGATATATCGTAAAACAAGGTGGTAAAGAACAATAGAAGGTAGGAATAAAAGGAAAGAATATTAATAAGAATGTTGTAGAATACTTTTCTGAGGAGGTACTTACAGACCACCTTCGGGACCAAGCATAGCCATGAGAGAAAGAGTTCAGGCAGAAGGGAGAGCAAAGGACAGAGAGTGAAATGTGGTTGTTAAGTTGCATCAACAGAAAGAAAGCCATTTACTTAGAATACAAGGCGGAGAAGAGTAAATGATAGAAAATGAGGTACCACAACTGATCTCAGAACTCACAGAAATTCTTTAATGGGTCACTTAGTAAACTTTCCTTTTTTTTTTTTTTTAGGGTTAATATAGAGGAAAATGTGCCATTTAGCATCTGGGAAATTTTTTGTGGAAAGAACAAAGAGTGCAAGTTGCCAGTGGCTCACACGTGTAATCCTAGCAATCAGGAGGATTGCAGTACAAAGCCATCCCAGGCAAATAGTTCATGACACCCTCATCTCAAAAATACCCAACACAAAAATAGGTCTGGTAGAGTTGCTCAAGTGATACAGTGCCCACCTAGCAAACATGAGGCCCTGAGTTCAAACCCCAGTAACACCCCCCAAAAAATTTAAATTAAAAATAAAGAAAATGTCCCAATTCCTTTCTTTGCTATGTTGTTATGACAATATTAAATACAGTCTGATTTGTACTTTGTAATATACAATGAGTGTCATGCTTATTATTTTCTTATTTATTTCCTTCTTGCTGATATTAATTGTCATGGGAAGGTATCATTGCAAAATAAACCACATTAGAAATTGTGACAATAGAAAGGAAGCACCTGTGAGTATTTCTTCTCCTTCTTTGTGGAGAAGATTCATATGGAGAACTCTGCCCAACAAAATAAATTGATTTAATCTTATAAGAATTGACAAGAAGACTCAGATCACTTCTGTAAAGAAGTGGTTCTTTATTGTTGTTGATTATATTGGAGAATATAATAGAAGCCATAAACCCAAGTCCTCAGAAAATGTGTGAATTCACATCTGCACAAAATATGAATAAAACATTGAAAGCTATGTGAAACTTTAAGGACCAGATCATCTGATCAGGCATTGCTTTCATATCAATGAAACTGGAAAGTTTGGTAAAAATATATGTCTTTGGCCTTGCCTTCAGGTAGATGCAAGATGGCATATAGAAAACTGAAATTTTTAGGAAATGAATTCTCTAGTGGATCTTGAAGCAGGCAGATAAGAGATCATATTTTGCAAAACTCTGCTTTGGGGTCCATAAGAGAGGATTAGAAAACAGAGGCTTAGAAAGAAACCACCTGGAAGTTCAGAAGAACGAGTGTGATCTCGGAAAGCTGCAATCAGTGAGATTAGCATGAGAAGAATGAAGAGAAAGTTGAAGTAGTAGTGTGAAACCAGAACTACGCAGCTGAAATAGGATATATTAGAAGATGGGCACAGGCACGTGGAAGCAGGCTGAGAACACTGCACTGTGGAATGGACCATCTTCCGCTAAGGCTGGGTGTCTCTAAGGAGAGATTTATCCACTGCCTTGCTCACCCACTTGAGCTGCAGGAGTTAGAAAACGAACCCAAAGCTCACTACATCCATCACTAGTAGCACTGAGTCAGCACCAGAACTTGGGTTTCTGTCCCCTGGTCCAGTACCCTTCCTCCTCCTTATTTGGTCCTGAGATTAAAAAATATTTTGTGGAACCATTTGATAGGAATTAGCTTGTATTCAAAGTGTTCAGGGCAATTCATTTAGATGCAGAATATATCTTAAGGCAGAGCAACAGTTTTCAATTAAAATATAATGAATTGGCCCTTGCCACAGTTTTTTTTCAATATTTTAATGCAACGTGATCATTATCAACAGTGAACAAGGCAAAAAGCAGAATTTATTTCAGTGCTTATGATCCCCTGGCCATCGAGCGGAAGATGAACTCAAATGCATTCTCAATGATCTCTGTGCCCAGGAGGCTGAGAAATTTCGGGAAATCATCTGGATTTTTGTGTGAGTCATCTGGCTTCTCGTCTGGTTTGTCTTCTGGGTTGTCACTTGGTTTGTCATCTGAAAAAACACAACAGAATCTCAGAGGTGATTCTTAGTAATAAGAAAGAGAAGTCTCTTTTCCATGTAATAAGCCCTTTAGAGCACTGTGTAACCCAGGTCACTAATTGTATTGCCTAAGAGTTACACTTGACAAAAACTTAATGCCTGCCTTATTTGAGTCTTCATATGAGCTGTCTAATTTATAGATATGGACTACCAAACACCGATACTTAGGTTGATATTTGAATCCATTTGTGGATGCAAAAACTGGAGCTCATGGAGGTTAAGTACCTTTCTTAGAGTGAAGCAGCAAGTAAATGCCAGTACCAGGGATGAAACACAGAATGCCTTCAGTTTTCCATGTAATATAGAATATCTGTTTTTCTGTGCAATTTGCATGCCCATGGTAATAATAAATTGAAGATGAACTCTTAATGGATTGAATTTTTTGAGCAAACCCCATCATAGACAATTCACATGCACTGTCTCTTTTTATCCTCACAACAGATCTATGAGTTAGGAAAATTATTATGCCAATTTTAATGATGAAGAAATGGAATTGGAGAAAGGTTTAGAAGCTGATTCAAAATGACAGAGATAATAAGTGTCCAAAACATAATTTAAATCCCTATTACTGACAATAAAATCTTGAGTTTAAGCACTGTGATAAACTGCATAGTTTTTGACAGAAAAGCAGTACAATTTGTACTTCTTTTTTAAAGACTTTATATACTTCCATTTTATTCTGATAAATTCTTGCAGATTATGTTTCCCCTTTTCTTTGATGGATATTTTTTCTTTTTTTAAAAATTATGCTGGGGTACATTATAGCATTTACAAAAGTTCTTACAATATATGTAGCTATATCATACTTGAATTCACCACCTCCATCATTCTCTAGTATCCCCTCCTCCTCCAATTCAGCAGGTCTCATTTTCCATTTGCATGCATGTGTAGACAGTACTTGTACCATATTCACCCTCCTGCACCCTTCCCCACATCCTACCCCCTCCCAGTGGCAGAAACCCCCCAGTCAGAGACTGAAAATAACATATTAATAATGATAACAAAAAGTCTGCCACTTGTATACCACTATTAGTTTTATAAATAATGATTTTTATGCTGTATAATTTTACCCTCCAGGAAATCCTATGCTATAAGTTTTGTAGCTTACTGTACTGCCAAACTGCAAAGATTAGGGACTTGCAGAAGACCTCTCAAAAATCAAGAGAAGAACGTGTGTGGAAGCAAGACCTATAAGTTAAATGTATATATATATATATAGAGAGAGAGAGATTATATCTATCTATATATGTTTATATATATTTATATAAATATATATATATATGACAGAGAGAACAAAGTTCATTAGTGAGTCCCTCTGAGGGGGCTACGGGGTTGGGAGAGAGAAAAAAAATGTTAGAGAATGAGAAATATTGAAACAACCCATCCATATAATATAATAATATAATATAATGCACTATACAGTAAGCTGTTGAATATTAAGGGAGTATGGTGATAAAGAATAAGTCAAAAACAGAAGGGAGGGAGTTAATTTGGTAAAAGTACAATACATACAAACCAGAAGTACCAAGGCAAAACCCCCTTGGACTATCAATATATACTTAATTTTAAAATATGAAGGGCAGGAGGGAAAAATAAATCTTTTTCAGGGGTGAGTATCAGTGGGAGGGGGGTGGACACAAGGAAAGGGGGCATGAGGGTAAACATGGTGGATGTATTTTGTATCCATATATGAACACAGAAGAATGAAACCTGTTGAAATTGTTCTAAGAAGGGAGGAGGGGAAAGGCAAGAGGAAGAAAGATGGAGGGGAAAATCCAACTAAGATATATTTTAAGCACATATGTAAATACCACAATGTATCCCCAGTACAACAATTATGTGCCAATAAAATCATAAGTAAATTTTTATAAAGAGAGTTGCTATAAAAAATCAAGAAAAGATGGGACCTTATAAATTCAGGTGTCTTATACTTTGTCTTTAATCATGTTCCCTGTGGATCGGAGGCCAAAGATCCAGGCTGGTTTCCCGCAGACTCTTGAGGCATTTTGGATTTGATTAATGCTCTTTATTTTCATGAGGTGAAAAGGAATGAAGAGTGATGGCAGCTACCATGTACTTCCTTCCCTTTGGGCCCTTGTGACAGAATTATGTAGGAACTCTGTCTTTTAATGTTATTATGGCCTTAGAAGTAGTGTGACTAGACTTGGTACAAAAAAAATACAGGGTTTCCAGCTAAATTTAAATTTCAGATAAATAACAAATATTTTTAGGATACATAGTGAAAAGTCAGTCACTGGTTCTCTGAAATTCAAATTTAAGAATGTGTGTAATATTTTATCTGGCATCCCCACTGCAAATTTTGACTGGTGAAGTCCCAACTTCTGCACCATAAATCCTATGACTTGAGATGAAAGACATGTAGCTAGCTTTTTGTAGAGGCTGTCAAATGATCTCAAAAGCTTTGCATCCATGTTATATAATAAAATGGAAACTATTAGTAAAGAATTAGCTTTCAGTTTTGCAAACATTATTGTTTATTATGTGACAAACAAAGATTTTATTGGAATACCAGTCTGGACCTATAAACAATATTGATACACTAATCATTAAGCATTCATTCATCCAGCTATTGATTCCTTCATTCAGAAAGTACTTTTCATTTTCTAAACTTAGCATTCATTATATGGATTGCTTTTCTACCTAAGAGTTAAGGTAAACAAGGATAGATAAAGACATGACTTTCACATTAGTACAGGGTGACCACTGTGCCCAGGACTGGTTCATTTTCATCATGAGAAGGAGGAGTAAATAGACTCCTCTTGTGGCGCAACTTTTGTGCAAGTCCCAGGCTGGTGCTTCATCACACCCTTTTATCCACACTCAGCTCAGTGATAGTGTGAAATTTTTACCAAAGAGAACAGAGACACTCAGGGAAGTAAATGACTCATCTAAATATCACTCAGCTGAACAGTGACTGAGCTAAGGTTTGAACCTGAAGTTTTTAGACTACACAAAGCATGTTCCCTGAAGGTATCTGCTAAGTGCAAAGCAGTAATTCCCTTGTGAAAGGTGAGTTCTTTCATTTTTCTATGTTTCTATCTACCTACTTGAATAATAACTTAGTTTTATTGATGTTTTATTTCAATATTACAATAATATTAGTTTTTTAATATCCGACGACTCTGAGATTAGAGTGAGAAGACCAGAATCTTGGCCTCAATCTGTGGAACACGCATAAAGTGAGAGGTAGTACAGTAGTAAATCAAAGTTAGAATTCCTACAACCTGAGTTTATTTCCTGTTTTCAATAAGGCATTAGCCATGTAACTTAGCACACAATGCTTATCACCATCTTTCAGTTTCCTCATTGTGTGTCACATTGTATATTGTGAAAGATATTTTATTTATCTTTCATATGTATCATATCCATGTATATTTATTTATAGAATGTATATTCCACCAGTGCAGTGCTAAATCCAAGATAAGTTCACAATAAATGTTCTGCATTATTATAACTGTTATTAATAATAATAGAAAAATGATCTATAGTTCCATTTCTCCTCTAGCACTTCAGGGGTTAATGAATTTCAAAACTGCTATTTAAATATTAAGAAATTCCATATCCTAGAAAGAAATCATCAAAGCCCAGAGTTAAGTATTTTCCTTTTTCAAATATAATAAAAAAGCCTTGATTTATATTAGTCTGTGGCTGGATTTCTTAGTCAAATATGATCATTAAGTTCTGAAAAAATAAAGTAATGCTGACATTTGTGTAGTTTTTATAGTTTACAAAGTGATTATGAAACATGTTCATTTGATCTGGTAAAGTTGATAGCTCCCACTTTCAGCTGAAGAAAATGAGGCTCAAAACAGTAAACCGATTTAACTACAGTTAGAGTTTAGGAGAGACAGGACTGTTCTCTAGGACAAAAATCTCAACTTTCACTTCATTGTGTTGATTAGTTTTGGAGTAGAGTGGACACAAACATCCCTGTGAGCTCCTTGAGGGTAACTCCTTTGCTGTGTCTGCCTGTGTGTTGTACTACTAGGTTGTGGCCTGGGGGTGTGAATTGTGCCAACTTACATTCAAAGGACTCCATTGCTAAATATTTGCACTGTTTTCTGATCTATTATTCAGAATAGAGATAAGAACTCACAAGTCTTCTGCAGACAAAATAATTAATTAATGAAAATGTTGTGTGTTGCCTTATGGTCTTATATATGCTTGGATAAGATATGGAAGAAATAGATATTTAGTTATAATATGAAGAACCTAGAAACTCAGATTTCACTATCAGATGCCACTTCTGCTTAAGTCTATGTTAAAGGAAGTTTCCTTCTGAGAGCTCAGTTTATTACTCTGTATGAGGAAAATGACAAAACTGTGCATGTTTACCTAATGGGATTATTATGAAAATAGATTAAGATTACATATAACAATAATTGCTAACATTTTGAGTGTTATTACTGACTAGCTACTATTCCAATTTGTTCTGCCTCTTTTATTTACCTTTCATGATAACTTTATGAGAAAGTTAACTATTAACGTTCCCTTGTCTAGATGATGCCCAGAAAAGTTAATGCTTTAATCTTTAAATTTCCCAGTCCAATGCTCTTTCTGAGCCGCTCAGTCCTCTCCCCCTTTTTATGTTTTGGATCAGTGCCAACTTTCCTACAGTCACTGCTAGCTATGGCACAATCCATGGACTGTGAGGAGAAGGACTTACCTGCATGGCAGGTCAGGATTAAGACAAGCAGTCCTAGGACAATTGTCAGCCGACGTACTGAGACAGCCATTCTTGTAATACTGGGTACCGATGCAAGTAAACTGCTCAAACGCACCTGGAGCTTTGCTTCATTTATAGGGCATACAGATGACATCATCCACTATGGAATTTAGGTTGTTGCACAAGATGTCTGCTCAGCTTGCTTTTGGATCTCCAGTAATGAGACTCTATCCTATTAGTGCCCTATCTTTCAAAACCCAAAGTTTTAATAGGGGAATAAAAGCCCACTTGATTTTCGCTAACCTGTGTATGTATAAATGGCAGTGGAGTCCATCTTTGGGGAGAAGTTTCAATGCCATTGTGGATAATTAGATGCATATCAGGTAGACTTACTCTTCAGTGTCAAGCAGCAGGCAATAAATCAGACTAGCAAAGTGTGTTTGCTCCCCTCCCTATGTGCTCAGTACCACACCCCGTGCTAATCCCCCAGCCACACACAAGCAAGCCGTTTCACACATGGTGCCTTGGCTCATGGTGCTCTTTCTTCTTCCTAAACCTTTCCCATAATCTCCCCTTGGAGCATTCCTACTTATTCCTTAGGCTCAGGTTCAAATGCTCCCTTTTCTATGAAACCTTCATGATAGCCATCCTACCTTCTTCCCAATAGAGCTTGTTCTTTCTTCATTTTCTATAGGACCTTTGGCACATTATCTGTAAACTAAGTATTTTATACATCTCATATGTCTCTTCTCATTCAGCCCATGGGTGGATCTGTTTATCTATCTATCTATCTATCTATCTAAAACCAATAATGATAAATCCATAAATACATGTATGTGGTATATAACATAGTGTTTTAAAATAGGTATACATGGTTAATATATAAATCAAGTCCATTAATATATGCAGTACCTTGCATACTTACCATTTATTTGTGGTGAAAACACCTAAAATCTACTTTCCCAGCAATTTTCAGGTATATAATATGTTGTTTATAATTACAGTCACCATGTTATATGATAGGTATCTTGAATTTATTCCTCTCATCTAACTGAGATTTTATATGCTTTGATCAACATCTCTCCAGTCCTTCCTCTAAGCCTCTGGCAATTATCATTCTGCTTCTATAAGTTTACTTTTTTAGATTTCACATATAAGGAAGATCAGATGCTATTTCTCTTTCTGGGCCTGCTTATGTCATTTACCATAATGGCATCAAGTTTCATCCATGTTGCTGCAAATGATGGTTTGTTTTCTTTTTAAATGCTGAATAGTATTCCACTCTGTACAGACAACACTTCCATTATCTGTTCATTTGTTGATGAACACTTAGGTCGATTCCTAGCCTATGAATCTCTTAAGGACAAAAGCTTTTATTACTTTGGAATCCTTGGGGAGCCTTGCAACCTCAAAAAGATTGGCATCAGTCTCAGCTTTGACTTCATATCCTCTAAAGACTTATCTGATTCTTCTAAGCAGAGAGATAAATGGTCTTTTGAAGTGCCTGGTAGGTACACATTTAAGCATCTCTACCAATAGGCTTCTTGAGGGAAAGACTGTCTTTTTTTAGACTTAAATAAGTATTAACCAAGGCATATAACAAACATTTTAAAAAGAAAGAGAAAGAAAAAAATAGCTTGGAAGTTGAGTTCAGGCTCTCTCCTCCTCTACAAAACCTCATCATTACGGTCTCTATACCTGTCACCATGGCCCAATTTTAAAATAAAATCTGCCTTATATCTTTCAAAAGAAAAGTTAAGAAAAAAAACAACAGTTGAGTGCATTTAACTTAATTGCATTTGGTAAAACAGAATGTTGGATTTGAGCTGCTGCTCTGTATCATAAGTGGAAAAGGTCATTCTTTTTCTAAAAAGAGGATTAAACTTGGCTCAAGTCTAGATATGAAAAAGAGCCTTACCTAATTTGGGTTGCCAATCTCATAGAGAGATTTCAAAGTAAGAATTAGTGATTAAAAGCATGAACTTTAGGTTCAGCCAGAACTGAGTTTGAATTTTAGATTTGCTACTTATAAGCTGTGATGACAATGTGACACTAAACTATTACCTAATTTCTCTGTGCCTTTGATCCAATATCTTTAAGATAGAAATAATGATACCTCTAGGGATTGTTTTTGTGGAATGGATGAGAAAATATATGCAAGTAATTAGCACAGTGCCTTGCATATACTAAGGGTAAAATAAATGATACACCTATTCTGTTCTATTCTATTCTATTCTATTCTATCCTATCCTATCCTATCCTATCCTATCCTATCCTATCTTATCCTATCACCTTGGATTGTCCAGGAATGACTCTTAACCATGCAAGAAGCACTAATAATAATTATAATAAGATGAATACTCTGGTCAGGTGCCAAACTAGATACAACATATGAACAAAGCTACTGGGAGGCTACCATTATTATCCTCATTTTATATCATGAAATTCAAGCTTGGAAAGATTAAGTAATTTGTCCAGGGTTACAAATCATATATGAGCCAGGGTAGGGAATTAGACCCAAGGACATGTGACTCCAAAGTATCTGCTCTTAACTGGTGCATTCCATTGCACTGGCACATGCTAAGCAGTTGCTACTTGCAAAAAGCTTGGGCTAAGCAAGGAACACTGCAGTCACTAGCCTTTCTATCCACAGATTTATCTCTCTGCACTCAGTTTTCCTCATTAACCACTTCATTTCCCATTGGCATCTGAATGAAGTTCTGGTCCACTTCACCCACCTAGGCTTTAGCTCAGTTTAATATATCAAACATGCAGGGTTACAGTGCCTTCTTACTCCATGTTAGAAAGTGAACTGAAGATAGGATTATAGGATAAAACACTTGATTCCCAATTAAGTTTTGAATTTCATGTAAACAATGAATAATTCATTTAGTATATCACAAATATTTCATAGAACATAGTTATACTAAAAATAATTTGTTGAGCTGAATTTGTTTATTCTATTGTAGCTGACATTTAATTTCAACTGTGTATCCTGTATACTATTTTATTTACTTTAATTGCTGATCTAGCAACACTAGCTGGAGAAGCCTCATAACTTTTCTTACATAAAGCCTCATATCATGGAGTGAGGTAGAGGACTGAATAAAGTCAAATGCACGGATAAAGAATGGTATGTGAGAAGTTCCAATCACAAATGGAAACTGTGAGTTAGTAAGGGGCTTGAATTCCTCTTTTATTTTTTCTCCCAGCAGTACTGGTGGTTGAATGCAGGCCCTTGTGCTTGCAAGGCAGGTGGTCTGCCACTTGAGCCACGCCCTCAGTCTCTCTAGTTCCTCTTTAATATGTCACCTGGGATAGGTTTTCTCCTGTGTACCTCATAAAGAAATTATAGGACCCTCTCTTGTTCCTGGTTCATTCCAACTGAGGTTTCAAACCAGCCCTGGAAGGTATGCGTCTGGTGCAGGCAGGGCTCCCGCTCTCATGGCAGGCGTCTGCAGAGGAGTGGCAACACTCTCTCACCTTGAGACATTTCTGATGTATCTTATAACTTAACTGAATATCATGCCACAGATCCATTCACTATTAGTCAATGAACATTTGTGGAGATTGTTCTATTTGCCAGGTACCCTTCTAGGCACTGGAGGGAAAGAAAATACAAAACACCAATCCCTGACCTCATAGTTGCTAAAGAGACAAATTTGTAACCATGTAATTACAATTTAAATATGAGAAATGCTAATGGATTTATAAACAGATTCATACAGGGGATGGGTGGGGAGTGGTTAACATTGCCTGGGGGCAGGGGGGTGCAGGCATATCATTTGTTTGGACTTTGAAAGGTAACTGTGTAGGTGTTTGCTATGCAAGCAAGATGTAGAGAAGACACTTCAGATAGGAGGAATTACTTCTATGAAGACACAGAGGCATAGCACATTTCTAGGAATGATCCCTACAATTCCAGTTGTGCATATTACAAGTGGAAACTAAGGTGAGTTATCCGAATCTTAAAATTTGTTTTAATAAATGTATGTGTTAAGAATATGTAGTGGAAGAGAGAGAAATAGAATGTTTTGTTATGTAAGTAAAAAGTCACTAAGTATTAAGAATCATAGCTGGAAGTATTTCCTCTACATTGCTTCTCTAATCAGAATTTCAGATAAGGACATTGCTGTCCACTTGATTACCAGATAAAAATGCAAATTTTCTTTAGCTTTTTATCACCAGAGAAACAAATTTCTCACAGAGTCCTCTCAATTCTCCTCTCAAATTTCCATAAAATTTGTTAGCCTCTCTTCACTTCCACAGAAAGTGTCACAGTTGGAAATTTTGTGTGGTCTATGGCAAGAACAATCTGAGGTCTTCATGATGTGGACCTCTTCATAACACAGGCTCTCCTCCACATTGCTGCCATTTTAATCTTTTTAAAACATAATTATCCTCTGTCATTTCTTTTATCTAATAATTTCCATGGCTCTTTACTGCATGTAGATAAGACCTTTTATATTCCATTTCCAGTCAACAGCTGTAGGTTTGTCTCAGGAGTAATACAGAATCATTCTTCAAGCATAGGTCAGATGGCCTTCACTCAGTTTGTGACTTCACCAGGACTAGTTATTTGCTTGGCATGTGCTAGAATGCACACACTTGCTCTTAACATGCAGTTTCGCCATGCTGCGCTGGCTTCTATACCCTAATTGTAAAATAGTGTGTTACCCTCTCAGTTTCTAACGCCATTCCTTATTTGGCAAGTTGCTTATACTTTCTAAACTTCAGTGCTACATTTCAATATGAAGACAGTTGGTCTCATAAAAATTTATGAGTACAAATGAAATTATACTATAAAGAGCTTGGTACTATGTGTTTCTAATAAATTTTGATCCTGCATCATAACCAGTCACTCTCTAACCAAGTCACTCCCACTCTTACCTTACCAGAAGTACCTTACCAGAAGTACGTACTTTTATTTGTTTATCATTCTATTTTATTTTGCTTGGAATATTCAAATCCCATCAATTCATTGTTCAAATATTACACCCTTCAGAAAGACATTGTGATCACATTGCTGATCTAGTTCATGACAAAATTAATCACTTCTATAAGCTTACT